CAGCGCTTCATTCATTTATTTAGTTCTTAAATTCGAATTTCAGGTACTGTGCAGCGGTTCTTCTACGTTGGTACTGAGACCATGATTCCGTTTCAACCAAGATTGTGCATGAGGTGTGATCAGTGACAGATTTTGTCACAGCGAATTTTGGCCCTCCCTATCCTTTATTCACCTTCGATCTCGCTGCCCTAGAGCAATGAGCTGCGGATACGGTACTGAGTTGGTAATTACCCTGAACGAAGTAATTAGGAACGCCCTTCTTATTTGTTGTTTGTCCGTCTGCACGGAGGTTCGATGTCACCTGAATAGCCTTTTAGAGAGTCCGGGTTGCGGACCCTCAGTAAGAACATATGCCCATGTGAACGCGCAAACGTCGGAACCTCATAACTCGGGTCCAGAATGACTAAGAGAACGAAGAAATACAGCAAAGTAAGCAAGAGTGAGAATTGTGATGAAACATCCACAGCAGGCGGAGCATGCACCATGGTGACCGGGGCTAAATTTCTAAAATTGGAAGTCGTCTCCAGAGCACTCCTAGGGTCGGAAAAAATCATATTTAATTCCAAGCCCTGGCTTCGGCGGGCAGGCACTGCTCGGCCGCGCATTCCTTCTTTCGTTGTGTTGGGATACACTGCTAATGTCCGATATTATCTCTCATTTTGCCATTGATCATTTTGCTCGCGGGTTGTCGGCGTGTCAGGCAGAGAGAAGGTTTGAACAGACAAATATTTTTCCTGCTTAGGGTTGCAAAGAACCGTAGCTTGCGCGGCGGGCTCGTTCCAAAAATAAAGTTTCCTCTAAAGAACGAGTCTACCGGGTTCAGCTTCAACGGCAGGATTTCCAAAATCGCACTCGCAATAGAAGGCAGTCCCGTAACAAATAATAAATAAACGATAACCATAGTCGGCATAACAAATTTTGGCCTTCAGGCAATTCATTCCTTTACCGTGAGTCCCGATGGTTCAACTGGTATCTGGAGCCAATCGTGGTGTAGTCACCAAGATTGACCTTGAAGAATGTATGGCCTCGTCCGCAGAAGTTCCTCAAACTCATTTATCAAAGTCGGAGTTGAACACATCGTCTCGATCGGGTCGTCAAGTTTTCGTACGAGTTGAGCTTCATCACCAACTGCGCGTTGACGAAGACGTCCACATCGCCAACGCCTTTGCTGGGAACAATACCTCACCGGCTGCGTAAACGGTGTATAGCAAGCGATGTCATCTCGTCTTGGTCATCCCGATGATGCCGACGTCGTACATCGTGGAAGCACTGCACGATGACAATCAAGGGCTTATTGTTTTTTTTGAGCTATGGGGTTCCATTGTACAGCATTAGGGACGGAAGGGTACGTTGCTTGCTCCTTCTCGAGGGCTTCCGCTCAAGAAGGATTCGCCCACTGTTATGTGAATAGCACTCATCCTACTCCTCACTTGCCAGGCTAACAGTCACTTCAGCTTCCGTGCCTTTCGATAAAATTTCCCATATAGTCTCAGACGTTTGGGGAGAGTTGTTTTTGTCAAGTTCTATAACTTGTAACGCCACGCGATGATACTAGTTTCATTCAAGATTCTGCGATTAGGCTGCGCACAACAGGTACATTCTCACTTATTCCTAGGTAATTGTACGATCAATTAGATTCGAAGTGAACTTTTCGTCGGCTATTCTTGGCCAACTGTTTGGGCATCAAACACTCGCTTATCGAGAAGAAATCGCTCCCTCAATGGTAATAACTGGAAATGAGCAAAATAACGTGGGCAAGAATGTGTTCTGTGAGCAGAATGATCCTGAAATAGCTGTATAGTTCACAAGAAATGCTAAACCCTTTCATTCCTAGTAGGACAAATCCCTTGTATTTCGATCGCAGTCGTTTATTGGCACATTTCAGCACCGGATGTAACGATGTACAGAAATTTCATGAGTTGTTCCATAGCTAGTACAGGATGCTGGTACTCTTTCGCTATTCCATACTTCAGAAGACGTTGCAGTAGTTCTCATAATATTGACATGACTTTGGAAAACGTCCCCTCCCTGAGGTTTCTGCCAGCAGAATTGTAGCAAATACACTCACGTGAGGCTGCCTTTCGTACATCTTCACGTCCCATAGGCGATCGGTTTGCCCAAGGTGAGTGCGATTGAATATAAGTTCATGCACACAGTCCACAACGCCATAGTCGAACGAAGGCATCATCTGAGAAGCATGGATGATAGCTGCTCACTCGAACCCCGTCATTTATTACCTTGTTAGCGATCAACTTTGGATGCTTGGCAAGCCAGGCAAAATCTTCCACACCGTAAATACAAACGCTGTGGCGATAGCGCTGTGAGCGGCATTGCATTTTGCCATCGTACGCCCAGGTTTCCACCCTGAAATGGAACTCATTGAAATCCTTCCGAATCTCTTCCCTGACATCACGGTATAGACTTATGACAGCAGCACTTCTGCTTATAACAATACTAACATTTATAAACACTGTCCGTGTGATGTATGTATTGATGCGCATTATTGGAGTGAGAATACGAAAAGCTATGATATGAGCAGAAAGTCATAAGATGAGTTCTATGCCGCCCTTAAATTGAGTATGATTACTTAGAAGAGGTAACGCAGTTACCAGACAAGCCAATCGTCGGCTTCGTGAATCGGATCAGCGCAGCTCTGCTGGCGGTCAATGCTAATGTTGTTGTGTTTAGTGCAATGACTCTGAGAATTTTCTGTAGAAATTTCAAAGAATACTTGGAAAATGAGAGACGGTTGGCAGTCGATGAACATGGCGACAGGTGACAAAAAGATTGTAACATTGTCGGGCAAAAAAATTGAAAGTAATGCAGATCTGAGTTTCCCTAATATGGAAGTAATTGTTGCATAGCCTCAGTCTAATGGCCCAGACCATTCTTGTTCGTGGTGAACGCACGATACTTCACACGTGTTGAAGCGGTTCGCTATAAAACATTCGTTATGACGTGTTTCGAGACATATTCCAACGGAGAGCTACACATTCTGACCAGTTCTTCACACAATTCCTCCTTAAATTCATACATTTTCCCTGAAAGTCGCAAAGCATTTGAGTCCCGAGCGTTGTCAAGTACACTTCGCGTGGCATCCAGTTCGCTATTCATTTGAAGACAGCCCCGCGCTCGAGTAGTACATGGTCGTCCTTCCTTGTGCAAGTAGTACAGCCCCCAAGCTAGAGACTATCCCACTCTCGCGACTCCACAGTGAGCGAGGAGCGAGCTACAGCCGCTGAAAGTTCTAGTTCTAACGCCTGCTCAGTTGGACCGCCTTACTTGCTAGATGCCCTCCGACGAGGCCACTCAGTTGTTCTTAGTTGGGGCGGCGGGCATTAATCGGAATTGCATCTCCTTTTTGCTGACCGCACTCGTGCCCATGGATAATTCTGCTCTCCTTTATTACAGTTTACTCAATGGGGGCATATACATTCAACTCAACCCATTTCGCGAGGTGAAACGCGTAAAAATCACGAGTGACGCAATTTTCGTGGTGCAAAAGCTCGACGCACTTCAGTGCACTAAAATGTGCGCTACCGTAACCCAAATTCGGACACCGAGTTTTTAAAATTTCTTTTTCCTTCCAAGAGTTTTTCCTCTGCGTTTTTGCAACTATCCAGGACAGTTTTATCGCGGGAGCTGTAGAGGCAATTCCAAACATGCAACTGCCGTTACTCGGTGAAGGGTACTCGTTGTCCCTCACCAAAGTAAGAAAGAGGAAATTGTTCAGCCGAGGCATAAATTAGTTCTAGGGTCGTGAGAGTTAAAGAGCGAATCGCTAACCATAAGTATGCTCAGTGATTGTATTCAAAATATGTATAGAAAGAGCCATGTTCACGTCGTTCACATGTGCTATTTCCACAAACAAACCGACCTTGTTATAAAACCAGTTCCTCGTCCTTTTTTGATACACTCAGCAGTGAATCCTCCGGGCATGCTGAGTCCTTCACTCACAAATAAGGTTGGAATGAGCACCTCGTCAACACCCACTACCTAAAAGTATTACATCTGCAGCTGGTATGGAGCTCATCCTGCCCTACAGACGGTAGAGTGTGTGAAGTCACAGAAGCTGAATCTAACGAAAATCATTTTTCATTTCACCGACCAAGAGAGCTACGGAAATAGCACGTACACATAATACCTTGCGGTCAAGTTGTTCAAATGTTTTAGTGAGATCTATTGTGTTCACCATCCAGTCGACGGCAGCACGTGACAGCGAAGCATGCACTGCACCTCGAGCAAACGTGAGTGATGCGCTCAATTGAGATGGTGTCATTTGACTTTCTGAAACAATCAACGTTTCAGATGCAAGCTCAGTGAGCTTGGAAAGCAAATTAGCAATTTTGCATGATTGTACCAAGGTATCAGTGAGAGACTGTGTTGCAAGATGACAAAGCGACCTCTAAACTTTCCGAAGGATCACTTTCGAATGTTTCTGAAATGCGATGTGTTCAAGTGAGTTGGGGTCGTTCCCCCTCTAGATAATTCCTCAGATTCCTCGCAGCGAGTTCAAGAGGTTGCAGAAAGCAGTACATGGATTTATTCGATTTCTCGGACTATCAGATAATTTTTGCGAAACCAAGCCTAGCCATGGATAATAGTGCTG